TAATGACCTGAGCCAAAGGCAGACGCTTAACCCACTGAGCCACCCAGGCGCCCCAAGAAACTTGGTTTTAAGCCCAGCCTGGGCAACTCACCAGCAGTACGTCAATCTAGTCAACCACATTTACATGGTCTTGATTTTATCATTTATAAAATAATATTATTAGCTGTCACTGGAGATTAAAATTTTAAAAAGTAAAAACATAGCTTTTTAAAATGTATTTTGTTTGGGGCACCTGGGTGGCCCAGTTGGTTAAGTGGCTGCCTTCGGCTCAGGTCATGATCCCGGGGTCCTGGGATCGAGTCCCGACATCAGGCTCCCTGCTCAGTGGGGAGCCTGCTTCTCCCTCTCCCTTTGCCTGTTGCTATGCCTACTTGTGCTCTCTGTCAAATAAATAAAATCTTAAAAAATTAAAAAAAATGTATTTTGTTTGTATGTGTATGTGCATATGTACCCAGGCAATGCCTGTTATAGATGGCAGGGATTGTTCTGAAATTTGGAGGAAGATATTTAAGTCTGCGAGGAGCCTCACTGGAAGCATTATATAGCAAACTACAGGTGGAAGAAATCATGTGGCCACATAATATTAGTCCAACTTTTATTATGGAAGAAACAGTTTTCCCCATGCGGCCTGTTTAGTATGCTTTGTGTGCAGAACCTGATTTTGGCAGTTTCCACCTGCTCACAGTTACCCCACTGGGTTTAAGAAGTGAGCACACAAGCCTCCAGTGCATCTCCTGGGGAAAAGAGAACAAAGTGGGAGGGTATCTCTACAATGTCTGGCTCATCTTGTGCTTCCAACACTGATTAATGTGTACAATTTTCTCTTAATTCACTGGTGATAAATCTTTGATTTGATGCTCCTACTGTGAGTGTGTTCTAGAGGGTCTTTTTGCTCAGCTGAAATAACACTTAACTCACAGAGTTGTTTTGAGGGTCAAACTAGCTACTATTCCTGAACAGCCTTAAAAACACAAAATAGAGTTCAAGAAAATGCTAATGTACTGACATTAAATGTGTTATAATGCCTATGTTTTAATCTGCCTCTTTTTCTTCATTGCTTTGTTTTTACAGGTAATAAGTGCTAATTCTACGTTTAAAAAAAAGAGAAGGAAATACGGAGTAGGAGTAAAATTAATTTCTTTCTAATGAAAACTCACCACCTAGAGAAAAACACCAGGTTTCATGGCATTTGTGTATTTAGTTTTACACACACACAAAAATGCTATGCACATTTGTCTGAAAACTTGTACATAGATAACATAGTTTTACATCATGATTTGTAATGGTGCATAGTACTCCATTATAGAAGTGTAACATAATGTTCTTGCCCCATCCCCCTTTGTGCAATATTTACGTTTTCAAATTTTTCACACTTTTAAGCAATTGTATAAACTTTGTGTATGTATATATATACATACACACACATATACATAATAATTTTAATATATTTGATAGTTACATCCAAAAAGTTAGTAGACTGCAGAATGCCTATTTCCCAACATTCAAATCAATACTGACTATTCTCCTTTTTTAATCATTGGCAATTTAATCACCTGAAAATTACATTTTATGGTTGTTTGTATTGCACTTCTTTGGCTAAGTGTAAGGCTGTATTTATTTTTTATATTTATTGACCATTAATATTATTCCTATTAAACTATAAATTTCCTGTAAGCTTCCAATAAATTGTGAAATTTCTGACATTCTACTCTTTTCCCATTACATAGCACTACACCAAGCACTAAGTAGCAATCAATAGATACTTATATTTGTTTTCTAAAATGTTTGTTTAGGGAAACAAAAAGCAGAATCAGACCTATAAATACAGAGAACAGACTGATAGTTGCCAGAGGGGAGGGGGGTGGAGGATGGACAAAATGGGTGAAGGGAAGTGGGAGATACAGGCTTCCAGTTATGGACTGAATAAGTCACGGGAATACAGGGAACAGCACAGGGAATATAGTTAATGGTATTGAAATAGCGTTGTATGATGACAGATGGTAGCTAAACTCTTGGTGAGCACAGCATAATATATAAACTTGTTGAGTCACTATGTTGTACACCTGAAACTAATGTAATATTGTGTGTCAATTATCCTCAAAAAAATGCTTGTTTAGGTCATTTTTATTCTATTGGAGAATTTATAGTTTTTTTATTTAATTATCAAGAGGCATTAATAAATGAGATATATATAATATTATATAAATATATACTAAATATAGTATCCCTTTCCTTTGTGTGTGTGTATATATATATATATACACACACACATATAAAATATATGCCAACTCTACTATATACCTGTTATACTACAAAATATGTAATGTTTTTCTATTTGTCACTTGCCTTTCAACTTATATATTAGGATTGTGCCAAAATTATTTTATATAAACTTTTTGAAAATGTCACTCTTTTATATTATTATGATGCTTTGAAAGTTTTCTCCAACCCCAAATTATATATATATGTGTCTACGTTTTTTCTAGTAATGGTACAATTTGACCTTTCACATTTAATAAAACCCATCTGCTACTGTTCTAAGAGGTGAAGAGGGTTTAGAGTTAGTCAAGAAAACTCACCCTTTGTATTTTTCCTTTCCACAGCAAGAGCACACCTGTGCCTTGGCCCTGAGGAGCACGCAGACTATTAGTAGCAAAGAAGCCGGCTTGTTTTGTGCACCAAAGGTAAGACAAACACCTGTTGCCAACTCAGTACGTGCCCTGGTACAACAATGCTCACTGGCAACCCAGTCTCTGTGTTCTATTCTGACCTCTTGTAATGGTCCAGCCAGTGAAGGACCATGCTGTTGATGCTTGGTATTTGTTGCTGGTTGGCTTTCTTTTCCTCACTCTTATTTCATCCAAAGATGCAACAGTGGTCACTGATGTCAATGGATATTGTTGGCCTTCTGTGGAAAAATAACCCCAACTGCTGCCCCAACCTTCTAGTGAGCACGTTGCATCATCCCTCTAAATACACTATGGAAAAAGTGTCCCTTCATATATAAACTAGGTGACTGAGCCCTGTCAAGCCCTTTCAGAGTATTTCTGGTTAGGAATGTGGTCCTACATGCCTCTTAATCAGGACTAGGTGGCCAGCTACGGTCTGGCTTCTGTTCCCAGACATAAACAGAGGAGAGGTAGCAAGAGCAGATATTACAAGGGAAGATCCAGGGAAATCCTCCACAATTAGCCCTCAAGTATCTGCTTGAGATTGGTCACATGCATTGTACTGTATCCTTGCCGTTCAAAAAAAAGAGGGGGGTTTTATATTGTAGTACTCCATTTACATAGCATTCTTAAAATAACAAAATTACAGAGATGGAAAGCATATTAGTTGTTATCACGGTTCAGGGCTGGGAAGTATGCTACTATTGAAGGGAAGCACATGGGCGTTCCTTTCTCACAATGGAACAGTTTGGTATATTGATTGTGGCTGTAGTTACATGAACCTACATGTGTGGTAAGATTCACAGAACTACACACACACACACACACAAAGTGCTTGTAAAAAGTGGTGACATCTGAGTAATCTCTGTAGTCCTGGTTTTGATACTGTACTATAATTCTCCATGGTTTTATTGTTGGAGGCAGCTGGACGTAAGGTACAGGCGATCTCTCTGTACTATTTTTGCAACTTCCTATGATCCTATAATTATTTCGAAACAAAAAAAACAAACAAACACAAAACTAACACAAAGCCCTTTCCAATAAAAGATGGTATTTGGAGTAAGTTATTTCCAGCTTTATAAATGCGAAGGGATAGTTTTTCTACACAGTCAGAGGCAGAAAGTAAACCAAATACGACAGTATCTGCAGAATGAAGAGAAAGCACTGAGGTCTTCAGTTTTCCCGTACCTTGCATGCCTTAAAAACAAACTGGACTCGAAGACTAGAAGTCAGTGAACCTCCAATATTCAGTGCACTTTTTACATCATCTGTGTTTGGACTGAATGTTTGTGTACCTCAAAATTTATACATTGAAATGCTAACCAATGGTATTTGGAGGTAGAGCCCAGGGGAGGTACTTAGGTTTAGATGAGGTCATGAGGGTGGAGCTCCCATGATAGGGTTAGCATCCTTATAAAAAGAGGAAGAGAGACCAAAGCTTGCTCATGCTTTTGCCGCCCCTCTCTGTTTCTCTCTCTGCCAAGTGAGGACACAGCAAGAAGGCAGCCATCTGCAAGCCAGGGAAAGGGCCCTCACTAGGGAACCAAAGCTGCCATCACCTTGATTTTGGACTCCCAGCCTCCAGAACCGTGAGAAATAAATATCTGCAGTTTATGCCACCCAGTCTATGGTATTTTGTTATGGCAGCCTGAACAAACACAGTCTGGGAAACCCTCCTGAAATCCCTAGCATAAATAAGTGACTTTTTTTTATTCTCCCATAAGATTTGGATTCTTTACTACTGAATACAGTGAGATGGTATTCATTTCCTTACATGTCTGATATCCCACTGGGTTGCGAATAACAGAGGATTCTACTTATCTTCCTCTCCCCCCACGATATGGCATGCCTGGAATGTGTAGATACTGTCTTAGTCTGTTCAGGCTGCTATAACAAAACACCACAAACTGGGTGGCTTATAAATAACAGAAATTTATTTCTCATAGCTGTGGAGGCTGGGAAGTCCAAGATCAGGCACTGGCAGATTTGGTGTGTCACGAGAGCCCACTTCCTAGAAGGCTGTCTTTTTGCTATAACTTCACATGGCAAAAGAGCCTAGGGTTCTCTCTGGGGCCTCTTTGATATGAGCACTAATCCCATTCATGAGGCTCTGCCCTTACAGCCTGATGATCACTTCTCAAAGGCCCCATCTTTTAATACCATCACCTTGTGGGACAGAATTTTAACATACGAATTTGGGGAGAACACAGACATTTAGTCTATAGCAGGTACTAATAAAATTCTGTTGAGAAATACTAATGAAGTAAACCTGAATGAAAGCATGAACGAGCAAGAAGAGTCAAATACTGTATAAACATATAGAATACACACCTGTGTCCTGTAGTCCCATGATATTATGATGTGATTTTTGTCTCCCATTTTATCTGTTAATTAGCTTGTTTCTTAGGTTTTTTGAAATTAAGAGCTGAAAGAAAGGGTGTAGGGTTGAGGTCAGGGTTAAGGTTAAAGTAGAGGGTACGGGTGGAGTGACAGTAAAGAAAATCAGATAACTAAATTGTGTTTGTTAAGGCTAAATTTTCTCACAGAGTGACAGTAGTTTACACTGAATTAAATAAGATGGGAAATGATTTCTCTGTCACATGTAGACATGTGTCCAGTAGTGAGTTTTCCAGGCTGGGAGGATGGAATTGCCACAAGCTGGGACCAGGTTCCTTCCATCTTGTTCCACCACCTGCTGGGCTGGTTTCCTCCTCTGCATGGTAGAGTTTGGCCACTGCCACAACCAAATTCTAGCTTACAGACAGAGGAAAGATAACGTCTAGGACCAGCAGCTTTGCTTCTAAGATGACATGAGTGGTTTCATGCCGTGTCTTGAGCCTAGTTAGTGGAAAGGGAGTCTAGGAAATGTAGGCTGTGCTGCAGAGGCATTCTGTAGATTCTCAAGAGACATGTAATAACACACAGCTATGCATTTGTCTATAACATCTGAAAATCAATCAAGTGTATTGATTACTCACTTTTCTATGAGGCTATATTTGAATTCACTTCCTAGCTCTACAACATACTAATTGTGTTGACCTTGAATCTGAACTTCAGTTGTTTTTCATCCTTAAACAGTTACACTGACACCTTTCAAGACTGCTTTGTGACAACTGTGATAATTAAACAAGATAATTTATTGTGACAATTACATGTGATAACGAATATAAGATGCTTCTCATAGATTCTGTGCTCAAAAATGGTAGCTATTATTTGTAGATGGTCACATTTCATTATCATCTTTTAAAATGTTTACTAGATGTCCTTATTTTAAGACCATTCCTATGCAAAATCAACTGTGTAGCATGACAAAACTTGTTCTTTTTGGCTTGCTAGGTTTAGTGGAAGGTTGGGGATTAAATCCCTCAAACCAGTGCAAAAAAACTAACTCACACATTAGTTACTAGATGCAGAACCAAATGTGCCAGCCATCAGTATATTTCATAGATAGTAAAGACAGTCGCATTTGAGAAATATTTTCCAGTAATTTTCAAAGCTTAATATATTCCTAGATTTTTATCTATTCGAATATATAAAAGAGAGAGCATATATTCTGGGAAATTTTTAAACTCTGCATTAATCATGTTGATAACTTTGCAGTCTGCATTTTTGTAAATATATGAGATGGATGTAAAGGAAATAAAAATATGTACACATTTAGCATAAACCTGTAAATCAGGAGACTAAGGAGTACGAGAATACAGTTAACACGTGATTACTGTGCTTCAATTAAAACATATTTCTAAATTTAAAGTAGAGCTCTGACTTATTTTAAGAAAATTCTGTATTATTCTTCACACTTATATTAAGGTTCAATTCTAGCATATATACAATGTACTAGATAAGGGATGATAAAAAGTTTATATCCTGCATGCCAAATTCTGATCAATGGCCAGTGGTTACCTGTTGGGTTGTGTTCATAATGATTCTGAAGTCATGTTTGACATGAGTGGGAAAGAAGTCTGGAATTAGTTGGTCATGTCTGTTATGAGCACTGCAGGACACATCTAGGCATTTGTTTGGGTTCCTGTCACCTTGCATTATAATGCAGGCTGGCTCTTCAATGATTAGTACAGTGCCTGGAACAAATGTGCGCATTGTTATCCCCATGAATGAACTAATGAATTCCCTTTTAGTGACTTCATTTTTCCCAAATAAGTTATTATGATTTGAATCTTTCAAAAGACTTGATATAGTAAAAGTATTAGGTTCATATCAAAAGTGAAAGGAAGATACAGATATTTCTCATATACCCTCTGGCCCCACACATACATAGCATCTTCTGTTATCAACATCTTCACCAGGGTGGTACATTTGTTACAAATGATGTACTGACATTGACACATCATAATCACCCAAAGCCAGGATTTCACATTAAGGAACTCTTAGTGTTATACATTCTATGGGTTTAGTCAAATGTATAATGGCATGTATCTATCATAAATAGTATTGTAATAGAGTATTTTCAATGCCCTAAAAATTTACTGGGCTCTGCCTATTCATCCTTTCTGCCCCCACCTCTGGCAACCACTGATCTTTTTACTGTCTCCAGAGTTTTGCTTTTGCCAGATTGTTATACAGTTGAAATCATACAGTATGTAGCCTTTTTAGATTAGCTTCTTTTACTTAGTAATATGCATTTAAGCTTCTTCCATATCTTTTCATGGCTTGATAGCTCGTTTCTTTTTAGCACAGAATAATATTCCATTGTCAGGGTGTACCACAGTTTATCCATTCACCTGCTGAAGGACATTATGAGCGTTTCCAAGTTTTGGCAATTATGAATAAAGCTGCTATAAATATGCACTGGCAAGTTTTTCTGTGGACATAAGTTATCAACTCCTTAGGGTAATACCAAGGAGTGCAAGTGCTCGACTGTATGGAAAGAATATGTTTAGTTTCGTAAGAAATTGCCAGAGTGTCTTCCAAAGTGGCTGTACCATTTTGCATTCCCACCAGCCATGCGAGTTCTTCTTGCTCCAAATCTTCACCAGCATTTGGTGCTGTTAGTGTTCAGGACTCTGGCCATTCTAATAGGTGTGTGGTGGTATCTCATTATTTTAATTTGCATTCATGATGTATAAAGCATCTTTTCATATGCTTATTTGCCATCTGTATATCTTCTTTGGTGAGGTGTCTGTTCAAATCTATGGCCTATTTTTTTATTTTATTTTTATGTAGGCTCCATGCCCAACATGGGATTTGAACTCAAGACCCTGAGATTAAGAGTCGCACGCTCTACCGACTGAGCCAGCCAGGCACCCGTCTATGGTCCATTTATTAATCGTGTTGTATGTTTTGTTTTTCCTGAGTTTTGCAAGTTCTTTGGACGTTTTGGATAACAGTCCTTTATCAAATGTCTCTTTTGCAAATATTTTTTTTAACTCTACACACTTGCCCTGGACCTAGTGCCACAGACTGAATTACCATCTACATTTGGGGGCCTGGTTGCATTGTTTCACTAACACGGGTACTACTATCAATCTCCTTTATTTCTCGCCATCTCCCACTTTCAGACAACAAACTATGAGGGCTGTCTGCCAGGGAACTTTCTGATCAAAGGAGAGGAGAACTTGTTGGGTCCATCCCTTCTCTTCTCATCCTTTAAACTCAGACATGATGCCTGGATCTGGGGCAGCAAAATACCATTAAGAGGAGACATTAAACAAAAACAAAAACAATCAAACAAAAACCCAGAACACTCTAGGTTATAGAAGAACAGAAATCTAAAAAGTGGCAAGATTTTTATGGCATTTTTGAGCAAAAAAAAAAAAAAAAAAAAAACGCCTAAAACTGCCTGCCTCAAATTATTTTTATATAGGAAAAATAAACGCGTGTTTTACAAGCCACTATTAGTCATATTTTCTGCTCTGTGGTGTTAAAAACCTTCATAAGATATAAAGATATTAGATATCTTAGATATAAGATACTACCTTGACTGTGGTGAAGGTAACACGAATGTATACACATGTCCAGACTCACAAAATTGTATGTTTTAATTAGGTGCGGTTTTTATATACCAATTACACCTCAATAAAGCAATGGAGGAAAGATACAAAATCCAAATCACTGCCCTGAACTCCAGAACTGAGCTGTCTACCCAGCATGTGCCTTTGGATATCTCGGAATGCCTCACGCCCACGCAAGCCCAGAATGGGCATCATCACGTTCTCCCTGCAAAACTGCCTTTCCTCTGGTCTCCTCTCATTAATGCATGGCACAGAAACTTTGGTGGTTTTCTTGCTGGCTCACTCCTGCTTTCTCACTCCCACATCAAGTTCAGTAAGGACTGTTGATACTGCCTCCAAAATATCCTTGACATTTGTCTCCTCAGCCCTACTTCTGCTATCTTATTTTGGAATATTTCATTGTATTTTTTAAAATGTAAAATATAATTAATACACAGAGGAGAGCGTATACATACATGGGCAACATAGTACTTTCTTAGGAAGCAAATACCCATCTCCCATTCCCTCCTCCAGTGTATTCTCTATGAGGTTACCACAGTAGTATTTCTATACTATGAGTAAGATTATGCCACTGCCTATTTTAATGTTTCAAAAGCTTCCCATTTGGGCTCAGAATAAAATTCAAACTCTGTAACGCTCCTTTTGATGCACTTCTTGAATCCTGCTCTGGTCAACTTCTCTTGTTCTGTCTCTGAAGGGACCTTGCCATATGCCTAGCACCTTGCACATCACCCTTTAACAAAAAGAACTTCACAGACTTGGCTTTATCTTATCTCCTCCACCAGACTCTGACCTCCACCAGGCTGGAGATATATCTCACTGACTACTCTATACCCAGTGCCTAACCCCACCTGGCCCAATATAAGCATTCATAAAATATATGGAAAATCTGAATGGGAAAATTCCAAGCTTCTTTAGAATCAGATCTTCATAAATAGCTTTACACTTTAAAATTGCTTTGTTAAATATTAAGCTGATATAAGAATTCATCCCCTGGGGTGCCTGGGTGGCTCAGTCAGTTAAGCATCTTGCCTTCGGCTCAGGTCATGATCCCAGGGTCCTGGGATCGAGCCCCATGTCGAGTTCTCTGCTCATCGGGGAGCCTGCTTCCCCCTCTCCCTCTGCCTGCCACTCTGCCTACTTGTGTGCGCTCTCTCTATCAAATAAGTAAAATCTTAAAAAAAAAAAAAAAGAATTCATCCCCGTTGTACAACAAAATAATATACAAATAAATAAAAAAAAAAAAACCCTCCTCTCCTCCTCCTCAATACTTCTCCAATTCAGAGTAACCACCTGTATCAGCCTTATGTGTAAAAAAGCAGCTTTGTGTGCATTATACCTGGATTGGCTCTGTATTAGTTTTATATTGCTGCCATAATAAATTACTACAAACTTAGTGGCTTAAAACAATACCCATGTATTAGCTCACATTTCTGCATGCATAGATTCTCTACTT